CCGGCACCGCACATGTGCCCTGGGGCCAGGGCTGGGGCCGGGCCGGCCCTGCGCATGTGCTGCAGGACCAGGGGAGGGGCCGCCCATGCGTCCCGGGCCTGGAGCCGGCACCATGCGTGTGCCGCGCGCCGGGAGCGGGGCCAACCCAGATGTTCCAGCGGGCGCCCAGAAATCCCCCGGCGGGCGCCATGGCGCCCACAGGCACCGCGTTGGGGACCACGGATTTAGACAAACACCTGGCAGGACTGATCTGCATGTGCTGCAGGACCAGGGGAGGGGCCGCCCATGCGTCCCGGGCCTGGAGCCGGCACCATGCGTGTGCCGCGCGCCGGGAGCGGGGCCAACCCAGATGTTCCAGCGGGCGCCCAGAAATCCCCCGGCGGGCGCCATGGCGCCCACAGGCACCGCGTTGGGGACCACGGATTTAGACAAACACCTGGCAGGACTGATCTAGTTTTCTTATGTAACCAAACTGTAATTTAGTGTTTGAGTAAGTATAATGAAGGTAATAAGTCCTATATAACAATTTGATTAGAAGTTCTATATGCTTTTGTTTCATCCTGCCAACTACCCTTCATAATTAGCAAGAAGGAATGGTTTGTGCCATTGGTTGATAGGCATCTAGTAAGCTGATAAGTGCGTACCCGTATGTTAAGGCAGGGAGAGACCATAACATATTATGGTAATTTCTTTTTATCTTAGGAGAAGGTTTTATTACACTGTTTGCAATAAGGCCTTGCTTTTTGTATGCATTACAAATTAAGTTGTGCTTCCTATATTGTGTACAGTTCCCTTGTCATTTCTTTAGTTGCCATATAATCCTTTCTAAAATGTAATCCTGTCTGAAATGGTCTTTAAAATTATTTGGTGTAAGTGAGGAATGGATGCATGTGTGTGAAAGCCATCCCAAATGTCCAGATGGGTAAGAAGTGAGAGACTTGGAGAGCCCTGGAGACAATTAGAAAACATCCATCATGCCTGATGCTAAAACAATTAGCAGAACTGGTGACCCTGGAAATGAGGCAAGCATCCACTCTGGGACACGATTAGCTGATCTGACCAAAACCAGTTTGAGGAAATGCCCTGAAAACATCATCTAAAATGCTGATGACACGGTGATGAGGAAAACAATCTAGAGGTAAACAGTCATTCAGAAGTAATTGAATAGGACTGTAAAAACCATAGGTCTGAATCATGGCAAACCACTATAAAAATGAGCCGCTTTGCCATGGTTCTCTGGGTTAGTCCTGCCAAGCGGCCTCAGAGCATCGGATCACAACTGATAGAACCCAGCTCTTCCCACACTTGTGTCCATCCAGCTGTCCACTAGGTTGGTCCACGCCTCAAATGGTAACTATAAACATCATTAGTGGCACTGTGTGTATGACCGTGTGTCTGTGTGTTATCTAAGGCTATGTCTACACTGGTGGCTTCTTGCACAAGAACATCTTGCACAAGTGTTCTTGTGCAAGAAGTCTTGCGCAAGAAAACATCCACACTGCCACGTGTGAGCTGTGCTTTTGCGCAAGAGCGCTCATGGCAGTATGGGTGCTCTCTTGCGCAAGAAAGCTCTGATGGCCATTTTAGCCATAGGGCTTTCTTGCGCAATAAATCCCTGCTGAGCATCCACACTGCCCTCTTGCGCAAAAGCTCCTGTTAAAAAAAAGCATAGCTCTTGCGCAAGGAGCCCTCTCTTACCATGCCGTACTGTAAATTTCCTTGCACAAGAGCGGGCGGGCAGTGTGGACGCTCTGCAGATTCTTGCGCAAGAACAGCTGTACTTGCGCAAGAAGCCGCGAGTGTAGACATAGCCTAAATGTGTATGCTGAGTTTTGCATTATATTCTCAATAAATGTGGCGTATGGGCCTTATCCCCTGAAAGAATGATCCCATGTGCTTCTTATAAGCATAACACTTAGTCCTGCTTCGAGTAGAACTAGATGAGCTATTGAGGTCCCTTCCAGTCCTTACTTCTATAAAGACTCTTTTTCCTTCTCTTTCAGCTCTGGGAGTATGTTCCGGGGAAATGTACATTAAAAGGCTTTCAAATGATGTTGGTGTATTTAACTTAAGAGTGTGTTTCCTTTGCTAATTATGAAAATAGTCCAGATGAAGCTAACATTTGTATTCTTTATGGTCTTCTGTCAACCTGCATACAGTGATAACAGTATTTTGTTTAAATAATCAATTCTGATCTTATCACAGCTCAAAAGTAGGGTATCTTGTCCTATAAATAAAGATTCTGTATACACTCAAAGCCAGGGTCCATATGAAACATGTGATATATTCTGGAAGTGCTGATCACAATGAATATTCAGTGTTTCTGTAACTGATCCTTTAAAATTAAAAAGCCTGATCAAATATAACAAGCTCATGTACTGTCTAGCTTCAGTGCTGATGTTGCCTTTAATGCAGTATCTGAGTAAGGTTGGGCAATGCTACCATGCCCTCTTTCACGATGGGGAACTGAAGCTCAGAAAGGCTACAAGACATGCCCAAGAGCCCATAGGAAGCTTGTTGTGGAGCAGTAAACTGAACTTTGTCTCTCAAGTCCAAGGCTCTCATCTCAGCCACTGAAATATTCTCCCTCCCCTTTCTCACTATTCAATTTTACTTTTTTATTTGTAAACCTAGTTTAAGCTGATGTGGAATGCCCATTCATAAAGATATGCTGGTTTACCTAAATCCGTGCAACATCGCTAAGTAGTGAC